ATGTCTGATGTATGTGTGAAGTATAAACTTGATCAGCCGAAGCATTTGTGATATAGCTCCATTGAACTGCATTGTTTAAGATTGTTAATTAGCCATTTTGGATTTGATGGATTTAATGGTGACAAAAATGGGAAGTTTGAATTTGATAGGCCCAAGCATGTGTGAGATGTGGCTGGATCCCTAAGTCCCCGTTTTCAGACTCAGTTTGAATGGGGACTAAAAAAATAGTGAAGTTTAGTATCCATACATAATATTGTTGAATAAAACCATGAAAATGTGTGGTTTCCATGAAAACTAAACGCTTTTGTAAACTTACCTGCCATCAAATCTGAACAGGAAAACACTAACCTAAGCATGGTAACCCTAGATATCTGCAACAGATGCAGCCAAAGAGGAAGGTAATAAACACACTAGCACTTACATTAATATCAGCACCTTTTGATAGTAAATATTCTATAACATCAACTTGTCCAAAGTCAGCAGCTACATGTAAGGCAGTACGACCCATGGATAACTCTCCATTCACATCAAAACCCTGGTTGGAAAGCAAAAGGATACAGTGAATCATTCATGAAAATAAATGTCATATGCCAGAATGAGGCAATGGGGTTCTGTCATATATTTTGGGAGGAATAAATTTGTAGAAAGACTAGTTTGTTGGAATAAAAAGTCAAAAATATCAATTTTGATGAAAGTGAACGAAAATAAGTCAGTACATGTAATTATTTATAAAATTTTACTGCATATCCCAGAATTAATATTAAATTAAATGTATTTATCTTATGGCCCCTCATAGAATAGAACATAAACAATTTCTAGACATCACAATAATATATATCTAAAAAATTGGCTAAAAAATAGTTGGTACAATTCTGACCCTAAATATATTTCTGTGTTTTATTTTCGCCAAATATTTACAAGAATTTTGAAACCTAAATTTAACTTGGTTGAAATTTTATAATAGAAAGATTGAAGATGATCAAACAAACAATTTTAAGCGACATTTTCAACAATATCATGAATATTGCAACAATAATAAAATAGTTTTCATAACATTATGGTGATCCATTTACCGTTTGCCAAAACAGGGCAAGGGAATAAAAGTACATTAATTATAGAACAAATTCAACTTCAACAAATATATAATTTGTTGTAAATAATGTCATAACCTCATAGTTTCACATCTGCAAAACCATAGGGAGTTGATGACTTATTTGTTTGGTTATCCCTAAATTTACTCAGCCATACTGATTCCACAGAAACAAGTATTACTGCAGTCGTGAATTTGTTTCATACACATAACCAGTAATATCAGCAGCTAATTGGCTGACAATACAGCTGTGTTGCAAGCAATGTTTGTTCCAAATCTTGTAATGTTCTATTGGTTTCCTGAAGCAACAGCTGACAATACTGATGGCTAGGTGTACAAAACAAATTTGCGGCCACAGTAATAATTGTTTCTGTCCAATCGGTCCACACTGTTAATGGATGAATAAATTTAAAGATATACGCTTGCATTACATTAACAAACTGTTTCAATTCTATAATATCCTTTATTTTAAGCAAAGATAAGATGTCCCTGTATCGGGACATATTCGTTCCACCTCTAAACGTACATGTATTGTATTGACTTTAGCAACCAACCACACGAATAGAACGTCAAGTTCCTGTGCTGAAAACAGACGAGGAAACTAGAACTAGAAATGTTTAGAAATTAAACATACATTCTGTACATTTACATCGGTAATTTACAGAACGTACGTACCCTGTATACATCCACTATAGCATATAAAATAATCTAGTAGAAATAAAAATAGGACACACCCTCCCCCTGAGCCAGGAAATGAAAGGAAACGTAACTGGCCCAGCTACAACTCGAGCATCGACACCCGTTGGGCAAAATATTGCCCAAGTCAAACTCACTTACGGGTTGCTCGACGTGCTCCTTCACTTTATCGAGATCACCATTTTGGACGCTCCACTTGAATTCACTCATCTTGAAATAAAATACTGAATATAAACAAACAAAACTTCGACACACATGTACTCAACTCTTCTACCCTCGGCGTAATACACACAGCGATGGCGACCAGTCGCAAGGGGTTCTGGGAAAACGGAAGTGTTAAAATGCCTACGAGCCCATACTAGAGGGCGCTATTGGGACGAGAGTAACTCGTACTTGAAACCACCGGAGACTGTTTATTTTACTAACTGTCGTCGTTGGTTGATTCAAATACCACCAACATGTCAGGTTCGTATACGTTTTTCTTAAATAAATAAATCTGAATATTCTTCCGAAGTAAAACTAGACCTCAGCACAGTCCCTCTATAGACAGAGGGACTGTGACTTCAGATAATCTGTTTAATCCCAAACATCGTTGAGAATATATAATGTACGAACATCTGACATCAGGATATTTTATTTGGGATATACACAAAACAAAGCTTATGCACAGTTCAAAGACATGAAAAATAGCACACGAAAATAAAAACAAGAAAAATACAACAAAAAGCGCAGCTAAAATAATTCTAAGACAAGAAAAACAAAATTTGCTAATATGCTGGAAATATAACTGTCATTATTAGAAAGCACAAACGGAAATAACTCCTCATCTGGCACATAAATAAATAAACCTGCAATGTGTGTGATGTTCATATTTTGTGAAGTAATCTACCACTGAATTGCAATTTTAAAATGGCAAATTCCGTCACCTCTTTTTTTAATCCTTATGTGTCTTCCTAATTCTACAGGTAGGTAATGGGATAAATTTGCTCAGTGCAAATATGTTTTCTGTTTTTAATTTGGACCAAATAAATGACAGATTTTTAGTGTCATTTAAGTCTGTCGGTTATTTAGTCATCTGTGATAAGTTCTAAATAAATGTAAACCATGGATCATAGAAATTATTTTTACATTTGTCAATAACTGCAGCTAGTAGCACAGGGAGCCCAGGAACTATTAACTGTACGCAGTCCCTATGAGCAGCTGGTATCTAGTGCGAGAAATAGACAAGGGATGAAGGCTCCAGTGAGCCCATATATTTTAAAATCTATAAAAAAATATCAGCTTGAACAATAATAGTCGCTCTTTCAAATTTCGCCAAAGACATGCTTTTAGAATAAATCAAAAAACTACAAAAATTGACTTTATTTAAAAATAATTAACGGCTGCCTCGTAAGCACGACACAGTTGGAGGCGTTGCTTATTCAGAATGTGTCAACAACCAATCACAAGACTGTTTACGAACCACATTGAGTTTACAACTCTGTTAACCGCACTTAACTGGTTTTAGAATCACCTAATGCCCAAGGTATTCTGTTTCTAAAGCCAGAAATTCCTGTTGTGGGTTCTTAATTACTATTTCAGCAAAGGTTGCTAATCTACCTTTTCATACAAATTACCATAAAGACAGTATAAACAGACTAGATACAGGGGTTTTTCTAGAAAAAAAACTGCAAGAGGGGGCACC